TGTTTCTGTGTCCTGTAAGGGTATAAATGCTCCGTGCACGTTTGGAGACTTTGTGTGGAAGATGCTACAACCCCCAAGCTATTCTTGTGATGTATTTCCTGATTGCCGATTTCCTCACTCTCCCTGCCTTGCTCCCCTAGATCCTCGAGGTCCGAGCACTGCTGGTTTTCCAGCCTTCCTTTACCTGTCAGCCAGGTGTGAAGCCTCTGGCCAATCAGAATCAGTAATTATTAAACTCACTACCTGCGAGAACTGAAAACAAGGCCTGGATTTGGAATCGAGGTGCAAATTTGAATATTCACCCATGAACCAGTGTGAACGCGGTACTGGGCCCATTAGGTCATGTGACCAAGGTCTCCCGGCTGTTTTTTTCCCCCCCTTTTTTCTTGGTTCCTTCAACGTTCTCCGCCAGCAGCGAGGCGCTGACCCCCCTGAGCCTGACTGTTCAAACCGGTTTCTTCCTTCTTGTGTCCCAGCAGCTGTTGAGACCCAGAGTAGCAGTTCAGAGGAGCTGGTCCCGAGCCCCCCCTCGCCCCCAGCCCCGCCGCGCATCTACAAGCCCTGCTTTGTGTGCCAGGACAAGTCTTCGGGATACCACTATGGCGTCAGCGCCTGCGAGGGCTGCAAGGTAAGAGAGCGCCAGCCCCCCAGCCCGAAATCGGGGGCTACCTGAGCCAGCAGACCAAGACCAAACTGGAAAAACCGAGCTCTGTAAGGCCTGTTGTCATTTCCTGGGCAAAATTGGGTTTGAACCGGTAAGTGGTCTGAAGTATGAGGAAAGTGGATGTCATTAGTGCCTCTGCAGGCTGTGTTCGCGCACGGTAATTATAGCTAGCTAGTTAATGGAGGGACCTGTTTATCTGTAGTCTTCATTTTTGTCGTGACAAAGGATTTTGAAGGTCGGACCAAAGGTCTTTCGACCTCAGTTTGAGGAATGGCTCATAGGTGATCTGTGGAAGATCTTGAAGACCTCACGTCTGATCTGTTGTGGGACTTTGACATCAACTCATGGTGGAGAGGTGCAAAGTCCTGGTCTCTCTCTTATCGAGCGCAGTGTTTGGTGTGAAGCAAGAGTTATGAAATCATCGTTTGTTGTCGGCCGATAGCCGTTAGCTGTTGGATGTTTCACGTTTGCCTGGGCAGTAGCAAATGGTCTTGAACTTTTGCAGATGAATGATGAAAATGTGGGTTTCTGAGGGAACTTGGACGTCTTCTTAATTGTTGTGTAGTCGATGGTGTATCATTACTGTTCAGTGTTTGGGCTGGGAGGTGTCACCCAAGAATGGGGCAGGATTCTATGGGGGTGGGGAGCTACTGAATATTTCTCACAGGCCCTTAAACCCATGTTGCATTTGGGGGGGGGGGGGGTCCTCTCCATTGCAATATAACCTTTGGTATGTGAGGAATCCTTATCCCGGTAGTTTGAGAAGACTGTGAACCAGTCGAGTACCAGTGATTAATGAGGGAATGTTCCGCGGATCGGAACGGCGTGTAGGAGCGCGGGAAGAGGAGCGGCAGGAGAACCCGCTGTGTGGGGGTAGCTGGCATATTAAACAAGCGGGCTTCCTTTGAAGCGCTCTCGGAAACACGCGGCGCCTGATGGAGAGGCCGATCTCAGCAAATGGGCACAGATGGGGTGAACGCAAATGTATGCATCACCGTTTATACTGAATAGCGACTTGAAAGAGAAAGCAGAAGCAAGAGAGCTTTGATTCCGTAGCTTTAAGGACTCAGCAGGTTAAGCTGTGGATTATAGACACACAGAACCCCCCAGTAACCCCCCCCACCCTGCCTCCGTCCTCGTATCCCTGTAGTGCAATTGTCGTCGTTAAAGGTGAAGGTTATGCCACAGGCAGGGTGGGGGGCGGGGGGATGTTGTGGGCTGTGATGGATGCAGCAGGAACCAGAGCCGATGTTCGTAGTGTGAATTCTGTGCCGGAGAAGGGGAGTGAGCTTGTCGTCTCCTGCCAGGCTTGACTCGTCCAATCGCACGGGTGAGCTCGCTCGCACAGGAGTGCGCATCTGCATTGTGTGTGTGTGCGTGTGTATATGTATAAATGTTTTAGGAACAATAAAGCTGTCTGGATTTGACAGCCCCTAGTGCAGTTCCCGGGTAACTGTAGTTACCGTAGTTACCTAGTGACATGCTCCGCCCCGTTCTGTAAACTCTCAACGTGGCCGATTGTTTTCCACGTCGATGTTGGCGCAGTTTGTGGGACAACTCACGCCCGCGAGCCTTCATGGAAGAAACACGCTTAAAAGAAAAGGGAAAAAAAACAGGCGAACGAATGGGGCGGCAGATGCGCGCCGCTTTTTGCTGTTTCGATGCCTGTGCAAATGTGGCTAATCTAAATAATCTGACAGGCCTTCGTCTCGTTTGATATCCCAGGGAAGGCTTGATTTGACTTGGTAACGCGTTCTTCCATATGGCTTCACATCAGCGCATGCATATTCAGTGGCAACGAGATGGAGTCTTCGTCAGACGGGGTGCTTATCAAAGTCGATCGTTCTCCCCTTAAACAAAAGCGCTTCTGCTCACTGCCCCTGTCTTCTTACTTTCACGTTGCACCTGAGTCATACCAGGGTATTTGGTTAGGGCTCCCTAACCACTCCAGACACATGCAGTAAGCAGCTGCTGTTTTCCATCATTTGCTGTCGGGTGTCTTGTGAAAGGTACAATCTTCGCTTTCTGGAGGTTAACGTTCAGATGGCCTACAGGAGACCCCCCTGCAAACCAATGGGCTGAGAGGAGGGTGTATCTGCTCTGTATTTAACTTTCTCAAGCTCTAAGTCTTTTGTGGCATAAAGATAGTCTTAATTTTTAGGCGTATAGACAAGGGACTCGAGCATAAATGATTCATATGCCAGAGTCGTCGAACCGGAGAGTTTATCACTCCCAGCAAAACCTGATCACTTCAAAAGAAACAGCTCCTTCATTCCTTTAGAAGGGTTTGCTGCAGATGGCAAATAAAATGTGCAGCTGTAAATAAATGAAACATTATGCTTGGCTCCGGATTTGTCACCTTTCAGTTTTTTTAAGATAAACATTAGGCTGCTAATTTGTATTTGACTGTCCCCCCCCCCAAATGGCGGCAGTAATTAGTTGATAAATACTCCATCAAAATTCAGAGAACGTGCCTTTTAAACTGAACCACTCGTTAAAATAAGAACGATGGTGTCTAAACAGGCTTTTAGGACATTCTCAGGCTTTGTTTTAAGACAATGTCTCCTCAAGCAGAACCAGACATTATCTGTCATATTCCAGACGCTCTTGTCACCGTCATCGTCCCCCCTCCCCCCCCAAGCCACACAAGGAAGATTCCTCTTCTGTTTTCTGGTGAAGCTGACGTGAGGTTCGTCTGTGACACCCCTCCCGGGCTGAGTGGGGTCCACCCAACACCTTTTAGCACGTTGCTGTTCCAGGCTGCTTGTTGGGAGATATGCAGAATATGGGGGTTTCGTTTAAGAGCGAGAGCGTTGTTTGTGTGAGCGAGGAGGGTAACTTGTGTGATACGTAGGTGTCGTGTGTGCAAGCCAGGAATGTCAGGGCCGCCATTGCAGCTCTCGTGTGCATGTTCTTTGCGTGTGCGTGTTCTTTGCGTGTGCGTGTTTGCGTCTGCGAGTTGGGTTGGGTATATTCTGTAAGATTGTGCATGCCAGCATGTCAGGTTGTACCGTGCGTGTGTGGGTTTGATGGATGTGGGGGCATCGTGCGGCTGGTGGGCGAGAGCAGGGGTGCAGTGCGTGATGCGTGTTCGTTTGCGTGTGTGCGTGTGGTGCACCGTGTGAATCCCACATACGTGGTTCAGCCTGACCAGCAATCTGTCTTCCTCTTGGTTCAGCTGGTGACGGACGTACCGTGCGACCCAGACCCAGCGGGGGGGAGTCATGCTGTTCCCCCACTGCAGTTGAGGTTGGGGGCTTGCGCCTTGCAGTAACATGACAGATTTTGCCTTAAATCGTTTTAAGTTTTGGGCAAATGCACTGAAGTCAACTTTTTTTATGCTAAAATGGCACATTTAATATTATCCAAATTTATGGCTCAAATTTACCCACTTATGCAGACAGATTTTATCCGTTGGGGATCAATTGTTCCCTCAAAGGAACAGCAGCACCTCCTTCTGGGGTTCGAACATCAGCTGATCCCTGTGCTTAGCATGTCGCTGCTAACCCACATCGCTAATCGCAGAATGAGCAGGTGTCTCAGGCACGTTGTGGGTTTAGACTCCCGTGTCCTGTTTAGCTCTCATTTCGGAGGGAAACTGAAGGATTGAAAGGGGAGCCGGTCTGAGGAATGGTGTCGCCGGTGAGGTCGGGCGATCCGAAACTCGGCGTGGGGGCCGGTCGCCGCGTCCTCTGCGCTCCTTCCGGAGTCATGAGAGAGACACTTGCAGGTTGCACCATCTGCGGATTCCCCATCAATGGCCTGTATTGTTCTCGGGGGGCTCCTACCTTGCAGGTTTATTTAAGATTCCTACTACACCCCCCCCCCCCCCTGCAGCAGCTTAGGACCTGTGACCTCACCTCCATGCTGAACTCCAGGTGTAAGTAATATCGCAGGTAAACTGCCCTGCCCCTCCCCCTTCCTCACATGAGCGTCGGTTTCCATGCGTGTGACGAGTGGGGGGGTGGGGGGGCTCCGGTGTCCTCTCTGCTTTCAGTGACAGCGGTAAGATATCGACACGATTAAGAGCGAAAGCTAATCAGTTGCCCCTTCTGCCGCCGCTTGCTGCTTCGGTTATGGAAGCCCGGAACGTTCTGTGGGAGCGGCGGGGGGGGGGGGGGGGGGGGGGGGGG